AAATGAAATCGGACTAGTAACGAGGCGATTTTTAAAATGTAAGGAGTAGAAAGTACAGATAATTGCGTGAAAATGTAAGGAGTAGAAGTAAAAAGTTGCCTGAAAAATAATTACTCCAGTAAAGTATAAATACCCAAAATGTCTACTTAAGTAAGGTAACGAAGTATTTGTACTTCGTTACTTGACACCTCTGGTTCTAACACATCTATTATGCTTTGATCATTCAGCCTGATTTAGTAATTCACTAGATAGTGGTTCTATCTAGTAATCCTGCAGTTTGTTACATTTCTATTAATAATTATTATTTGCAATGGAGCCCGTGGAACTTTAGAACTTGTCTTTGAAATATCAGGTTTTTAAGTTAAAAGGAATATCTTTTGTCTGTGATTTAGTGGGTTTATGGATATTTGCAAGAGACATAATGGAGATGATGATGATATCCTCAGAAAGTACAAGTCACATTGAATCTAAAAAATATATGTACAGTATCATGTCAGTGTGTTCACATTTGACTGGAGTTATGACTCCAGTCAGGGCTAACAATCATCTCCATGATCTGTATTTCACAGCAGCTGCTGCTGATGATCATGTTGGCAAGCTATTTGCATTTGCATTTACACCTATCCCTCTCTAAAACCTTGTGAATATAAACAAACTTTTCATAGCTGGAACCTGCCCTAATGTACCAAAAAGTAGCCTAAATTGTAACAACCGACCCAATTTGATATTTATCTACCAAAATAAAGACACAGTAAATCAACTGGGAAGAAAACTTCCCCATATGGCAAAACAACATGACATTCACAAACTGATTAGTTGGACAAATGGACTAGCTTTTTTTTATCTTATATATATCCATAACATAATGACTAGAAAGTTTTTGACATCCTGTCCAGGGATACGTTAATGGAGCAGTATTGACTAAAATAAACCCATCAAATGCTGATCCTTTTTTACTTTTACTTTCTTGTATTTTTGTGAATGTGCCATGTTTTGTCTAGCACTGTAAACCTGCTCTCTTTTAACACAGGTGCCTTTGGTGGGTGTTGCAAACATGCAACAGCATCTTTGATAAGCCCTTTATACTGTCACTGACAGCTGACAAGTTCTGTGATGTATCATACTTCTCGTTTGCTTGACCCTTTACACCCCAACTCCACTGTTGTTAAGCTTGCCACTCGGTTTATTTAACACTGTGCCTCAGCACTTGACCCTGTTGCTCTGCACAAAATTGGTCAAACCTCTGTCCTGCATTATTTATCTTGTGTGTATGGTTAGAAGGTAATGTAGGCATGCTGAAAGAAAATGGAACACCTTTAAACTGAGAGTTCATATGGCACACTTGAAAGATCTTAAATTATTTAGGGCAAAATACTTAGTCACAGCTAATCACTGCTCACCCTCATTCCAAATTACTATTACTAACTGTAAATTCTCTAACCCACCGCCACCACCTTTGAGTGAGGCCCCCTCTTCAGAGAAACATGAGGAATTTTGGAGCCTTTCCAGACCTTTAATTCCTTTATTATTAAAGACAGACAACATTATGAAACTCTATTGGCCAAGGCCAAGGTCTGAGAGAGATCAAGATGGCGCCTTTGCTCCTGGCTCGCCGCTTGCTCCTCCTATGTTTGTTTTGTTTTGTAATATTCGACACTATCTCTGCTTTGTCAAAGCTGGTATACGATCACTCGACTCTTTTAGAAATCCGCAATACAATGTCAAGTCTGCCAGGTTTCTACTGAGGTTTCCAATCGAATCCACAGCCACCCCCACTAGCGTCCATACCTGTTTTCCTACGGTGTTCTGTCGGCCCTCTTCCGGGCAGATTTCGGCGCAGGCGTTGTGGCAAGATAGGTAGACTCCATGTTAAATTAAAATCTTACCAGGATTTGTCGTTGTGGACTGAACATCTTGTGGATCATGGTAACATTGACCTAAGTTAGACCTTGCTTCATAACTACCGCTTCCTCAGACCGGTTGGCCCTGATGCTGATCCCCCTCATCCATGCTGCTGGCTCGTGAGGCACTCCCGCTGGCACTGCACACAGGATATCCTTCGCCCAGTGGATCGTGCTGCCCTGCCTCAGGATAAGCCTACTCCACTCCACTTAGCTCTTTTTAACGCAAGATCACTCAACAACAAGACTTTCGTTCTTAATGACTTTATTTCTACACATGATTTGGATGTATTTTTCCTCACTGAGACTTGGTTAACACCAGGTGATAATAGCCCGTTTTCTGAGCTCCTTCCGATTGGATATTCCTTTTTTAACTCCCCGCGCCCCGTTGGCAGAGGCGGCGGTTTGGCATTTGTTTTTAAGCCTACTCTAAAGTGCCGCCTCCTCCCCTCCAAGATCTTTCCCAGTTTTGAGTTACAAATTTTTGTTTTAATATTGCATTGTCCTTGTTTGGAGCCGTTCGCACCAGTCAGTGTGTGAACGAGGAAAGAGGCGGACCCAGGTAGCCGACTTCGGTGCAAGCAATGATTTATTATATACAATGAACACAGTAGTGACAATACTCAAAGGGAAATAGTGCATAGTCCTGTAGATGAGTAGTAGCCGGGTGTTTGACCAACCGCAGGAGGCCAGGAGATGGAGAGCTGGGCCGAGCTGCGTAGGTGGGGTCACTCCTGGGCTGGTCGACGGTGATGGTGGTTACTGAAGGTAGGGACAGAGAGATGGAGGCAATAGTGGAAAAAGATAGGCGACTGTGCATTGACCTGCCTGGGAAGGGGAGCCACGGTCTGGAGGAACAGTCCTTCGGGGAAACACAAAATAGTAGCTGGCAAGGGGATAAATACATACAAAAACAAAGACAATGCACGGAGTAAGGTTGGCCTAGTGACTAGAAAGAACTGGCAAGTGACTGAGGAGTGAAACCGGGTAATATAGTGAGTGACCTAATCAAGTGCAGCTGGTGATAAGTGAGAAACAGGTGAACGTGATAAAAGTAATGGGGCAAGAGACAGTAGGAAAGGTGAGGGAGGCAGAGCGGCCGAGCAAACCTGACAGTCCTGTCTTATGTGCAGTAGTTTACCGCCCGCCTAAAACTAAGGATTTTGTCAACGAATTTGGGGAACTCTTGGCAGAGCTTATCCCACAGTTTGACAGTTTTCTGATCTGTGGGGATTTTAATATTCACATTAACTGTACTACCAACCAACTAGCGAATGACTTCAATTCTCTGGACTCCTTTGATCTCACCCAATCAGTAGTCTGCCCCACTCATCAATGTGGGGGCACACTTGACCTCGTCATCTCACAAGGATTGTCTGTGTGCATTGGGGATGTATCAAATATGGCTATTTCTGATCAGTTCTTCTGTCCATTTTGAAGTCCTGGCCCCGTTAAGTGCACCTAGACTCATGACCCTACGTCAGCGTCGCAGGACTGTCACCCCTTCAACGGCCTCCGATTTTGCTGCTGCTTTTGCAGACTTTTATTCTTCAGCGGCTCTGAAGCCTCCTACGTGTCCTGACACCTTTCTATCCGCATTTGACTCTACCTGCTCCCAGATTATGGATTCCATCGCACCCTTCAGGAAGAAGATAGCTAGAATCACTCCTGCCCCATGGTTAAATTACACTACCCGTGCATTGCGGAGACACTGCAGGCAGGCTGAGCATAGATGGAAGAAGGATGGCCTGCACGTCTCCCTGGGCATTTTAAGGAACTGTTTGGATATCTATCAGAAATCTGTAAAAGATGCTAAAACTCAATACCTCTCTAACATTATTTCAAACAATGCTCACCATCCTAGAGTTCTTTTTAATACCATAAAATCTGTTATTAATCCTGCTGCTATCCTGCCTAATGAGGGGTCAGTTCAGATCTGTAACAAGTTCCAAAGTTACTTTACTGATAAAGTTTGGGCCATTAGACAGAGTATTCCTAAGATTACTCCCACTGTACCAGCTGCCCCTCCTGTCCAGTTTACCTTGGAGACTTTTTCTTTGCCACAACTTAAAAACGTGTGCAACAGTTAAAATCTACCCACTTCCCCCTGGATATTGTCCCTGCCAAGATAATTAAGGTGGCCATTGACATTGTTGGACCCTCCCTGGTCACATTTGTTAACAGCTGCCTCAGGTTGGGCAGTGTCCCCTCCACCCCTGCCACAGTGAGACCTCTCCTTAAGAAGCCTAATCTTGACCCCATTTTTCTATCCAATTTCCGTGCAATTTCTCTTCTGCCATTTTTATCTAAGATTTTGGAATAAACTGTCCTTTCACAGCTACAGCCTCATTTGGAATGCCTGGATGCAGTTGAAAATTTTCAGTCAGGTTTTAGGCCTCGTCACAGCACTGAATCTGCATTATTGAAGGTCCACAATAATATTACTATGGCCCTCAACGCCAAGCGCCCTGTTATTTTAGTTCTCCTTGATCTATCAGCAGCGTTTGATACTGTCAACCATGCAGTTCTTCTCTCCCATCTGGAACATACAGTAACGTTGGCCTGAGAGGCATGGCCCTAAATTGGTTTACTTCTTTCCTAATGAACAGGAC